ACCTTGCCAAGAAAACCTCAAGGTTCACCTTAAGGTTTTCTTGGCAAGGTTTGTTCAGAGGAGGTTTGCCATCGCCTCCCCCTGAGGCTGAGAGAGCGTGACTTGGCCAGGTATTGGCCCAGGTGGTCTCCTCACGTCAAATGCAGAGCTCATGAGTGTAACCAATTTCCACTTTCCTCTTCCACTTTCCATCTTCTGACTTTAGTGGGAAAAGTTGGAAAGGATTAGTCCGTTTGCTGTAAAATTAGCTCGTCCAACAGGAATTTAGTAAAACGGTGGAGTGCCAAATCTGTCAGTGGCCAAATAAAAAAAATTTCCTCCTTATTTCTTTCTCTTTTCCCCCAATGCACCCAGCCGAGCCAGTTCTCAAGCCCTGAAATGACAAAGCACCCTTTAGTTAATTGTGCGACGGATCGCCCAGAGTTAAAAGTTCTGATTTATATGACTGTAGCTCTAACTGCTCAATAACCCGGGCCTGTAATCTACTTTCATTTCAAACAGAACTGTGATTTATGGGGCGGCATGCCGTTTTAGCTCAGAAATGAGGTGTTCAACATATGCTCTGTTGACATAAATTTGGAATTTATTGCTCTTGTCAAAACTGCCTGTTGGACAAAGGTGCGTATTAAGGCAATAAATGACTGGGAATAGTTTTCTGTCAAATTTCCTAACCATTGTATTCAGTCTATTTGAGGAGTTGCAGCCAGAATTATGCACATCTTAAATATATATATAACATTACAAATATCCATTTAAAAATCTCGATGTTTGGGCAGAGGGTCTTCAGCGCTGTCTGTCTGTGTGCAAAACTAGCAACATTTGCCTTAAGCTGTAAACTCCCTTCTCTCCCTCGCCGCAACCATATTCTTTGCAAAGCACTTTTTCCTTTCTCATTAAACAACAAAAAGAAGGAGGGGTGGAATGGGGGACCATTAAATAAATACGCTATAAAAGGAATTTTTATGTATAGATTTTAAGCAGGAGACTCAGAGCGGGGGTGATGCACATGATGAACAGTTTACAGTGAGATAAAACTTGTGTTGACTTTTTGCACGCCAGGGATGGTATGGCTACCCAACTTTGTCGACCAAAGAGGGAGATTTAAAGAGGACAAAGGAATGAGGAGAAGCACATGGGGAAATGATTCGACCTTGAGGCTGAAAACCTACAAGGAGGCCATCTTAGAATGACATCCATCTTTCTATAGCCTAACACAGAACTGGGGTAGGTTGTCATGTTGGATTTTTGGGGGACATCATCTGGGTTTGTTTGGCTCCTGAAAGAAAATGATTTTCTTTCTGGGGGTTGGATCCAGACTTAGTCCTGCTTAGAGTAGACATGTGGAGGCCAATGGGGCAAGTTAGCCATGACTCATTGAGGTCCCATTAATTTCAGTGGATGTAAAAACCCTATGAAATTCATAAGGTTGCCATAGGTCAACAGGTGACTTGAAGACGCAGACACAGACAAGTGTGACTCAGGTCTAATATGCACTGCAGAGATAATGCAGTTTCACACTGCTTTCATTTCCATGGCTCAATGCTGTGGAATCCCAGGATCTGCAGTTTGTTATAGCACCAGAGCTCTGTGACAGAGAAGGCTAAATATATCACAAAACTACAAATCCTGGAATCCCATAGCATTGAGTCCTGACAGTTAAATCAGTGTCCAACTGCATTAATTCTGCAGTGCGGATTAGAACTCAGACTGAGCCCAAGGTTTATTGATCCAAGATCCCCATCTCTTTTTTGGAGGGAGAGATAACAAACAAGTAGAGAGATTTCTGCACTGGAATGCCTTAAAGAAAACAAAGCTTTGGCCAAGAGGAGCAAAACAGGGACCGTTTGATCAGAATCTCGATGTGAAATGGGAGCAGAAATCTAGAGAGCCACATGATTTCCACCATTGGTATAAAGAGATTGCTCAATTGGGGGTGTTAGTTGCTTTTGAAACTCCTAGAAGACAGGTCTGTGAAAAGCTATAGAACATGGACCCTCCATGGATGGCAGTCCAATATTTTTGAAGACCTGATGTTACAGTCAAACGGGGGAAAGGGGCTGAGTCCTTCAGGCATAGTCTAGATCAGTGGTTCCCAAACTTTGGTCCTCCAGATGTTTTGAACTTCAGTTCCCAGAAGCCCCAGCCAGCTTTGCCAACAATCAAGATATCTGAGAGCTGAAGTCCAGAACATCTGGAAGACCAAAGTTTGGGAAGCACTGGTCTAGATCTTTTCAGAGACCTGTGGTTGACTGAAGCTTGGGGAAAGTAACCTTGCTTGGACTATAACTCCCAGAATCTCAGGCTTGGGCAGTACCTGGGAATTGGTAGTCTTCCATGGAAACAACTTCCCCTAAGCTCTAGGCTGGTCACTGTAGTAAACAGGAAGATGGGTTAGATTGGTGGTTCTCAAACGTTGGTCCTCCAGGTGTTTCAGAAGCCGTAGCCAGTTTGGCCAACAGACAAGAAGAACTCTGCTCTGGGACCTGTAGTCCAAAACATCTGGAGGACCAGTTTGGGAACCACAGGGTTGGATGGTCCTTTGGGGCTTAATCCAGTGAGGCACTTGTGATGTTCAGGGCCTCTGTCCTGGGTGAACAATCTTCCAGAGTCGCACCTCCTTACTGGACCAAGCGGTTGTCCAGGGAGCAGCCAAGTCCTGTGTCTCAGCCGGAACAAAGACCCCAGTGAGAGACAGAGAGGTGTTGGGCGCATGAGTGAGGCCTTCGCCTCGCTTCCCCCTCCTTCCTCTGTACGGGTGGACTCCGTCTGCCTTGACAAATGCCTGCTGCACACCCCATTGTACCCACACAAACCTCCCATTCTCCCCAAACGGTGCTGAATCGTTTGCCACCAATCCCTTCTCTCTTTCACAGAAGGCACCCTGTGGGGAGAAACTCATAATTTTTACACCACACCGTCCTGGCCGGCCAGTGCTGGAAACTGCTCCCGGCTTTGAAGTGCTTTCTGCCAGAGATTTTACAGGCCTTTTTAATTACCTACAGCTTGCCCGAGAGGCCTACACACCCCAGTCCGGCTTTTGATTATTTGTTCTTTCCAGTGGCCTGTTCAGAAGGCAAGAAGGGCAGCAATTCCTCCCTCTCCTCCCACCCTCTTGAGCCCTCCGCTTTCAAAGGACCCTCCCTTGGCAATCTGGCTTCCTGTTTAGAGGGAAGTTTTGTGATCTTCTGAGCAGGTCCCTTTGGAAAGATCTCTGAGCCATCTTCCCAGCACCAGGTCTTTCTTCTACGAACTGCTCAGGAAGGTGGCATTTACTGGCAGGATGATGGTTGTTGTTGTTGGAGGGGAATAAGTCCAATTGCAAGCAACATCTGATTTGGAGGTGGCTGATTCCCCCCATGGAGCATGAAAACCAAGTAGTAGGGAGGAATGGCCAACTTTCAAAGCCCCCGCTATTGTCCAATTGTTTAGGAGAAAAGAGCAATGAGTAGACACTCCCTGGACTTTTCTTATCCACATGCCTTTGGGGCAAAGGAGGTGGTGGGTATTAGTTGTGTGTGTTTAGACCAGGATTAGGTAAAATCAGGTTACACAGGGCCCTTGGGATGCCAACATCATCATCATCATTTTTATTTCTTTCTTGCCTCTCCTCAAGGCTTGAGGGAGGGTACAACATGTTCAAATACAAAACCCAATTAAAAAAAGAAAACACATAAAACCAACAGTTAAAATACAGTACATCATTAAAATACACTCATATTATACAATCTTTAAAATATACCAGTTAAGAAAATCATGATTGAAAATTGAATAGGTAGGCCTGCCAGAAGAGATGTGTCTTCGATGCGGTTTTAAATATGTTGTTGTTGTTATTGTCGTGTTCCTTCAAGTCGACCCTATTGTGGGGTTTTCTTGGGCAGATTTGTTCGGAGGAGGTTTGTCATGGCCTTCCCCTGAGGCTGAGAGAGTGTGACTTGCCCAAAGTAAATGCTTCAGCATATTCAGCTGTCAGATCTCTTCTGGCAGGTCATTCCACAGTCTGGGTCCTCTGGGAAACTGTTACCAGTCTAGTCCTGGTCAGTTGGAGCAATATATATATATATATATATATATATATATATATA